TTTTATTTCCACGATTATTAGATATAATTTGCAGAAAAGCTATCTAGCAGACGACAAAACACTATGACTCATACTTTGCTTGTTTTTTAATGACAAATTGCGGTTTACCTAGGTTATTTCCATTAAGAACCCCCTAACATCTGTTGAAATCAATTTATGGTAGATGTACATGTGTGTTACTCCACTGAAATAATGGACACATCTGCTTTTGTCACATGACTTTGCATGTTTTGAATCTAATTTTAAGTATTATGTATTTCCTTATATTGCACACATTGAATATTTAAATGACCGGTCAAATGCATTTGTCTGTTTTTATCATGTTTTCTGGTATTATGGTATCATGTGATAAAACGAATCTTACAATCGTTATAATTTTATATAAACTTACAATAATTACGACAATATTGCCACAACCGTCATGTCTGCTTTATACACGTAACACTGTCCTAGGCTCGTTTGATTTTAAATTAAAAAATAACAGAATCTTTCAAGAACGCTAAAAGCGGTATGATTAAAAATGTTGCAGGCTCGACTCAGTTTTATATTGAGCCGGTTCATAGACGGTAGCCCGTGGTCCAATCGGAACATCCTCCGCTATTAATCATAAGAATAATCACAAAGGCTGACGGAAAGTGCCGAAAAGTTGCGATTGGCCCGCAATCCTAAATATCCGTTAATTAGGGTTAGCTCAGAACATTTCTGTATGAATTCACCTTTTATGTGTTTGTTAATACTTTATCATGTCATTTTCATATTTTGATATTTGATTTTGTTCGAGCCGGTGCCGGGGTGGGAGGTGCGGAAGGTGGTATAGATATAAGGGGCAGTTTCATGTATTCCGTATTTCCAATTGGTGCGTTATTCCCCCTCATCTTTGTAAATGTGTTTAAAAAATTACGTTATAAACAGTAACTGTTCTTTTTCTGTTTTGTTATTTTTTACAAAAATAGAATGAAATTCTTTTGTTCCTAGTTTTGGAAGAGATATATATATGTATCTCTTCTAAATATGTAATAAATAATACAATGACCTAGTTACCGCACTATTTACGGTTGACATCTAATTTAAAAAAAAAGTTTAACGGAATTTTATGGCCCGAATAATTCCCCGCTGTTGCGCTTAACCGGTTCGCGAATAATTTAATAACCAAATTACGGCATTCCGTTAATACATCCCCTTTTTCTCTTATTAGCACATCCATTTACATAATTATCGTAACACTTGTGCTCCCATTTATCAAATGATTACCCCTTACTGACAGTAAATGTTCCATTACCAGAAACAAGTGCTCTTCGAAAGATCAATTTAACACCCGTTCTACGGGGAATGGAGAAAAAAGGTTCCGCCTCAAACTTAACCCCAAAAGGAGGCAATTTCTTCGAGTCAAGAAAAATAATTAAGATTTGTTAACGGGAACAATTTGGCAAATTAGTTTCATGTAAAAGGCTGTTCTCAACACTACGAAACCCTGAAGGATGAATTGTTAAAACCTAGCTTAAGTTAAAACAGCTGATCACATCCTTATTTGTAATTTCGTGAATTACGTGCAAAATGTACTTGATCACCCTGTATTCGTAAAGACCATATAATGTTAAATAAAGAATGTATTATGTTAAGCGTATTTATTGTATGTATTTTTTGTCATACAGTCAATGAAATACTGTTGACTAAATTTAAAAAGCATTACCACGTGATTTAATAAGGTTACCAATTTAACAGTATCCCCATGGTTTAGAGTGATATTATAACAAACATAACGTGTACCTTAATAATCTTTAAACTTAGTTTTCGAGGGTAATATGCTACAGTTGAATTGGTCCATTTTGTGCCCTGCCTACTCTACCGTGATAGATAAAGTCAAAATTATGATGCAGTATTACGAGTTTGTATTTAAATTAAAAAACAATCAATTATCGAGTTCTGCTTAATGGTGAGGGCGGGGATGGAGTGTGTGTGTGGGGGGGGGGGAGTGTTGAATGTATCTTGCCATTACATTTGCCGTCCGTGAAAAGGATAAATACAATCTGGCCGGAAACCTTTTAAAATTCTTCCATGTCCGTCGAACTTAAAACTTTTCGATCTTATATCGGTGACTGTTCGAATTTAGTGTGTTTGTTTGTTTGTTTTCTTTTTGTCACTTAACTTCTTCTTGAATTAACAATAGACTGGTTCCTATTCAAAAGTTGTTCGGTGCATTGCTCAAATTTATTGAGATACAACGAGCTTGATCCCTGTTCTTCACTTGTTAAATAAAAACAAAAAAGGGAAAGGAATAGGGAACGAGGCTTCTATTAAACCATGGGAAATAAGCACTCGATTTAAGTCTTTTACCACTTGATCTGTTTATTTGAAATTTTAAATTTATGGTACCTCGTAACGCTGACACAATGTCATTTTATGTTGACCACATACTGCTGTTTTCTCAACATAAAGTAACAGTCGTATTGGTAAATTCCTAATGTTATTTCAGTTGTTTTTATATGTTCTTTGTTTTACTTAAAGAGAGGAATTCCCGTAAAAGAGCGCTTAGATTACTCAACATGAATCGTCTTTTGGGAATAGATTGTCAAAATCTTTACTAAAAGATTAAAATTGTCGTTCAGCTTAGGGTTATTTATTTTATTTCAAACCCCATGTTGTTACAAAATCAGGGTTTACAAGAGGCGTTTTTCTTGTTTAAGAGACCCGTGCGCTATTGTTAAATACTATGCATAGAAATCATCATTTCATTTGGATATTTGAATTACCGGGTAACCATTTGAATGCTGACGGACACAATACTTGCAAAGCACAGGGTTTTATGTTCCAAGACTTACGATACACTTGGGACTTTCTATGAAATGCAGCCCAGGTCAGACATATCGTTTTTGCATTCTGACTAGGAACTTCAATGTCCATGTAAATCCCCATAAGCTTACATGACGTTGAGACACTATTCATTTTTGGGTTATTTTCACAATGAAAATGATAAAACGCGATAAAAAGGGGTGAGAGAATGAGCACAAGTTACAGACCTACATCAATGTCGGTAAAATATTTCCAGTCCCGTCATGAAAAAGGCCTCGGCGGGTTCCCTTTAAAAGAAACATTAACTTTGATTATAATTATGTTAGCAATATGGCAAATATGGCAAAAATGTTTAATATTGAATTGCACCGGATTGTCTGTAAAATGACTCAAGATGTTTATCACAACATGGCACTGTTTCAACCTTTCTAATTGATTCAATTTGTTATCAAAATAAATTTTGTAACATTTGTCTTGATATGAATGGAATATTTTGTGAATACAGTGTTTTGTTTTCATGTTTTGACGTCACTGTTTGTGGAATAACCACTTGAACTTTTATGTCGTGTTTGAGTTCATTCGGCCTAGTATGTTTACATCACTTCTTAGAACTTTATCTGTTGCTGATTCCTTACCAATACTGACCATATGCTGCTATTTTTGAAATCGTACAAGACATATTTCTGTTGATAATCCGGTCATATTGTTCTATTTATTGATAATCGTTAGTACTTAAGATATAAGGGTCCATGTACATGAGTTACCAAGCTTGCAGACAAAGTCTTGTGTGTGCTGGTTGGGGGAAAGGGTTGAGGGGTGGAAGGTATGGGGTTGGGAGCGTAGGGCGGTGGAAGCGGAAGTGAATACGGCGGGATGTTGATGTCATCAATGGAAAGTGTCGATCAGTTATGCAATATTGGGATACCTTTAAGTTTTGAATCATTCTGTGACATTTCTGTCACTATCCCCGAATCACTTGCCGGTCACTTTACTGTGTGTTTAAAACCCATCAGTAACTTTCAATTTAGGACGATTTCCACTTTACTGGGGGAAAATCTCGGCCGTTCATGGCTTAATATATAGGAAGTCACGTGTCGTGTCGATCCGCTCGTAAAGCTACAAAATCGCCAGGCCGGTATGACTTAAAATCATGCATTGTAAAAAGCTCAGAATAAACTTGCATTATATGACAGGAATTTCTGCAAAAATCACAACAATTACTCCGAAGCTATTGTCTATGGGGACACAGTTGTTAAAATACAACCAAAAAGATTAGAATTCAACGCTGAGATAGTAGTTGTTTATTTCATTTCAATTCCCTCGATCAGAAATAATCAAAATTTACAAGCACGGAGTTCTCGTGCTAGGGGGATAAACATAAAGCGTGGCGAAGGCTGTAAACACCCGATTAATTCTGTTAAAAGAAATAGTTCCGAAAATCAATATAAATCTGCAAAACATTTCCGCGGCTTATGCGATGAGTCGAAGAAAAATTTAAAAGTTAAAGTGTGAATGAAAGTTGACTTAAACACACATGTACATGTATATATTTGATGTATAAATGGTTTTGACATGATATATGAAGTAAAACATGTATCAACCTATACAACTTCACCCGGAAATAAGCATTTTAAATAAGAAATTAAAAATTGAATTTTTTAAAAAGAAATATTCGGGGTGTCAAAAAGTGTTTTCCTAATCATGTTTTTGTAAGTAGAGCTACAATGATCGACAAAGCAAATAGATTTACTAAATAATTTTGTAAACAGAACATTTGATACAATATATTTTTTTGTAATGTATTACACTAATAAACAAATAGATCCTAGACTTCTATGTTTGGAATATGTATAATGTAAGATATGATTATTTGGAATAATGATAATGATGATGATGATGATGATTTGGAATCATGATAATGATGATAATGATGATGATAATAATAATAATTATAATAATAGTAATAATAAAAATAATAATAATGATTATAATTATAATGATAATAATAATGATAATGATAATAATAATGATAATGATAATAATAAGAATAATGATTAGAAAAATAATGATAATGATAATATTCATCATCACCATATAAATAATCATAAAAATAACTTTATATATTTCAAGAGTACAAAGGGAAGAACAGTACTTCTTTTGTTTATAATTATGACCTTGAGTTAAAAACAAATTATCAACACTTCTTTCAGGTTCTACGACAGAATCTCCCGACGACGGAATACGAGGTCCGATCTTCCTGTCAGAACCTCCGACATCAGTGGTTATACCGAACACAAAAGGCGCCATTATACCCTGTGGTGTTTACGGAAATCCCGCGCCATTAGTCACGTGGATTACCGGAACCGGTGAAGAGGTAATTAAACAAACAAAAAAAATTGCGGATGTTTCTAAATTCAAACTTTCACCAATTTCGTGTTTAAATTTTGAATTCTGCTTAAGTCGGTGCTGGGGAGATGGGTAGAGGGTAACATGCACTTCCCATTACCGTTCATGAACAGGCTCAATCAGACCGAGCCTGCAACATTTTCAATTTTGTCGTTTGGGGCGTTCTTTATAAGGATTCCGTATTTCTCTATTTTATAGAACCAACAGAACAAAACCAATTACATCTGATGCTTATTTAAGGCTTAAAATGAGTTATAAGAATATTTTAGAGTTAAATTTGTACACTTCAAGATCTAAAAAACCCATTCAACTTAAGGAATTATTCCTAATCTTTTACAAATTCTTTAGGCAAAAAAGATGGAGTAATACACACTCGAAAGAAAGTGTTGCAACATGGACCAACAAAGCGTAATAATCTGCCCACTATTGGCCAATCAAATCACACACTAACAAATATTTATTGAAGAATATTGGACATGAATTCTGAAACGTTGTCTTAAGATGTCTTAAATGATTACAAAACTTTCAGTTGAAGTTTTTAACTGTTTCGAGTGCTTTCGAAAGAAAGCACTAGTTTGTTGAGGAGTTAAAGTGGTAATTCACATCAAGCCTTGCTGAAAATTTAAGTTAATTTGCTCAATTTGAATACCAACCATTTTCTTAGCAAACTTACAACGACATTTCATGAAAAATGCCTAAGTTACCAATTCTTTCATTATTGAAGATTTTTGTATTCAGTCAAATATGTGTTGGTTATAGAAAACTTGGTATGTTGACGTCTGTTGCCAGTTTGCTCATATGGAAAACATTGACGCAAAAGCATAGCATTGGCACACAATTTACAAATGATGTACGTATATTCCAGCCCCAATCCCTCTCCTAGGGCCTCACCCCCTGTAATAGTTTGTTTTACAAGACTGTGTCGTAACAATACTTGCAATGTTTGCAATTTGTACCATAATAAATCAAAGTTCTCCATCAAATCTCATATTTAGTTTGCTTATGTTAAAAAAAAATTCTGGGGAAAAAGTCAGCAAGTTCGTCCGAACTTTCAATAGATCTTTGACAAATCACGGACGTAATTATTGCTCTGTAGAAAAATTTATGACATATGCTTAAAGTATAACGAGTGAATAAAAAGTGAAGAAACAGTTTAAATATTTCTATGGAATTTGTCGTTAAAAGCCTTTTAGGCAAAAAACGTTTGATCAATTTTAAAAGCCCCTGAATCAAAAGTGCGGTTTGAATTGTGTTTACAAAACATTGATTTTTGTTCTCAAATTGCAATAATGGAGGGATTTATCGCCGCAATATATAAAAGTTGATAAGGTATTTGTAAACAGTAATTCGACTGACGGTGTATTGCTGAGCCCAATGTTTGTTTTGTCTCGCGATTGGAAACAACGTAAATAAATTTGTTTTGAAAGGAGATTTTTCTCCGGGCGTTATGTTCATAGAATACAAAATTAGCATCGATAATCGGTGAAAAATTATTTGAAACATGCTGATCGTGACTGTTTACTAGATCAGTATGTACACAAACTGAAACTAAAAAATAACACAAAACATATTTGAACTGTTCATGAGAAATGTAGTTTTTTTTCTTATATGAAAACTGCATCAAATTCTTTTCTCATAAAAGATAAATAATTTTCCAAATCTTACATGCAAGTCTTTGATCCATTCATTTGTTGTTTTTTTTTTCACTCAGCTATCCTTAAAACATTATTATATATATTATTTACACGAATGTTATTATACTATATTTCCAACTCGTTAAACTTTCATAATCACAAAAATTTTACACTTTTCACCCCCACCCACTTTGAAATGTACGATCAGTGGTTGTGGGTTCGTGCTCTATTTTGGCCGTGACCATGTTTACCCATATGCCACCAGTGCTGGTTAGTTCCATGCAGTACGTGGTTTTGAAAATAATTAATATAAGATGCAATTGAGATGAAATATGTACAAACAAAAGAAATACATTCATACTTTCTTCTCACTTGTGGTACTGAATTGGCGATATTTATTTTAAAAATATTTTGTAAACCAAAATAAATAAAGGATATTCAAGTTTTTTCTATAAATACAGGATTTATTTTCATCGAGTGGTATGAAATATGATCATTTTCATAGCACACGATGAAAATAAATCCTGTATTTATAGAAAAAACTTGAATTTTCTGTTTATTATATATTCATTTTTCTCTTTTATTTTAACCGCGCAGTTTGAAAAACTTTCCATTAAATTTTGTACATGTATATTAGCTGAATTTAGCAGAAAGTAGTTAGGCAAATACGAAATATGTTTACCTGCAGTGAATATACGGAAAATATGCTTCACTGCAGTGAAAATACGGAAAATGAAAATACACATTTCATTTCATCAATATTTCTCAATATTTTATGAATAAGTATAATAACGTCCTCTTCTATAAAATAATTACAGGTGGAAACACGACCGGGTATCGTAGAAGTCTTGCACAATGAGAGCCTGTATTTTCAACCGTTTGACGAATCCAATGTAATCCCTGCAATACATACGCAAGAATATAGGTGTGTAGCTAGGAACCGCATTGGCAAAGTGATAAGCCGGAAAATAAACACTGTAGCAGGTATGTTATTCGGTAAAAAGTAGTGCACAATTTTTATTTTATTTTATTTTTTTAATATGTTTTAGCTAACTTGTTGGAAAAAGATCCCCACAAAAATCAGCGTCTTTTATCCGTAACACTTAAATATATGTGACAAACATACTGCCCAGCATGATTCAAGATTTTATCATTTTTTTTTCATATTTTTTTTTTTGGAAAAGAATAATAAATATGATTTATACACAATGTAAGCTCATATGGTATTACTTATTAATTAAATGAAATTTGATATATGATTTTTTTTGTGCCAGATAAATGACATATAGGACCTAATTCCCTGAACATTTGAAACGAGTTATTTGTCACTATTTAGAATGTGAAGTTTGATTTGAAGACAATAAAAAAAAAAAATATAAATAATAGTTATTTGTAAATAATGTAAATATAACTTACAACATTTTGTATCTTAAAAGTTACATTATCCCAGTTTTTAAATACAATTTAGGAACTTATAAGAAATGTAAAAAAAATAATCTTATATCATGTGATGGTTTTGAAACGTATCATTAAAATAAATGCACGTAGTTTTGGAGGGCCGATCATTTTGGTATAATATGTGCCCCATCTCATGCTACGTAATTATTATTTTGCTAACTTTTTTTCTGTACATATTTACTTGAATATAAATGTATTTACATATACATGTACACATGTAGTGACATGAATATACAAGTTTAGATTAGAAATTGAAATTAAGTCCTTGAATATGGAAATATAACAACATTTGTTGTCGTTCACACATTGATACATTGATTTTCATTGCTTTAAAAACTTACAAAAATATATTTTATTTCACATGGCCATCGCTTCATTATGATATAAGCATACCGTATGCTTAACGTTTTCATAACTTGCAATAATTATTAAAGATCCACTGCCTTTTAGCATTTTTTTCTTACATATCTTTGTTAGTAATGTTTTTTTTTGTAACTTATGATATTTATAATATCACGTTTATCAAATAAGGCCATTGGATTTTTGAGATGTAAACGGGTTAGTAACATCGTTGCTATTTTAGGCTTTTTCTTTTAAGTCAAAGTAATAGAAGATCAAAATCAGGGTTTTTCAGGTAGAATTAGAAACCGTTCTTATGTTTCATCTTTTGCTATAAAGCATTAGCAAACTTTATCTTTCTACATTAAGAATAAAGTCTGATACAAGGAAACGATAAAAACTTTTACTTTTAACGATAAGAGGCGGTATTTACAACAAAGTGATATTGTAATAAAGGGGGGGGGGGGGTTGTAATGAATGATGCATCGGCTCCTCTAATTAAAGATTGTAGATAACACTTTCTAATCCGATTAAACAAATTACGGTTTATGGCCGGAATCTGCGGAGAACGGAATTTAGTGATAATGCCCTACACTGACAAACAACTTCCTGACTTTTTGCCAATACAATTAATGAATTTGATAGCATGACATGCAAAATTCATAATCGGATGAGTCTTATAAAATGTCAGAATGTGTGATGTCATCGTGTAAAAGTTTAATACAGTCTAACGTCTCTGGTGGGCACAGTTGACAGATAAATTGTAAAATATTTTCTACGATATTTCGATATTTTGGTTTTTTCGTAGAAATCATATGTTGGGACGTATTAATTAAAATGCCTGGTGTAAATTAAATAATTAAAGAGAAAATAGATCGCAAAATGTAATTTTTCAATCATCACCATAATAATAATAACAACAATAACAACAACAACAACAATAAGATCATCATTACTATTACCACAATTCATCATTATAATCAAGGGTTTTTCTTTATTTTCAGCAATGGCCATACATGTTTTACTTTGCCTTCAAGTACTTTAATTTTTATAATTATCATTTCAAGCAAAATTATTCTGACTGTTCAAAATAAACATGGCAGTTAACTTTGGATCAATAATTAGAAAAAATCCAAACAAACAAAAAATCGTAATGAATAAGAATAAATGAGATGTTAGACCATTTATGGAAACAAATTAAGTAAAAAAGAAACATGTTAACGTCATTAGGGCATAGTGCATTTTAAAAGTGGTATCATGCAACGAAACCAAGTAGAAACTGTTTTCCTATATATGGCGGGGAATATCCTCCAAAAGAACGTGTATCATATGGCGGGGAATGTCCGCCAAAAGTATATGTATCTTGATGACATGTTTATATCTGAATGTTACTAATCTATATATGTTGAATGCATTGTGGATGTTAATTTTATGATATTGCTTCATCGCACAAGAGATTTAAGCATGTTATCTATGTCTCTGATTGCACATCCATTTCTTTTTTATATATTAAAAAACGTGTATAGTATACGTTATTACCTCATTACACATTTCTATATATTTAACATAATCATAATCTCAAAGCATGCGTGCTATCGCGTGATTGCGCATTGCTTCTCGCCTAACATAATTTGTGTAAATGACAATATACATGTAAAGCAAAACTCAATAGAAAACATAATCCATTTTCCAACGAATACCTGCAATGTATGCCTGAAAAGGGTAATAAAACGTTTAATAAAACATTCGTAAGATATGGATTTTAATCATCACACATACACTTTTATATTAACGAAATATAGAAGCATTTTTCATTTTGCTTATGTCATAAACATAAACAAGAAATAACTATACACCATTATAAGACATGTATTCTAGACAGTAAATTGTCTTCTTCGGCAAAACTTATATCAAAAGCAATTGTTCCAGTTCTGCATTAACACTTTTCAACACTATTCCTTACAATGGCTTGTGTGCATTTGAAATCCTGCATTCCTGTATGCAAATCAATATACAAAGATGAACAAATGTAATATGTGTAAATAAGAATGCAATCAACACATATGGATTGTAACATTTAGATGTGAGCATGTTCAAGATACATGTACTTTTGGCGGATATTCCCCTCCATAGTTCACATCTCTCCTTGAGTTGCTTGTCTCTTTAATAAGACGTAACCGCCCACAAAGTTTCAAGCTGTTCTGTCAGGCACCGTGAAGCAGTTAAGTTTTTACGTCACGGACGAAACCTGCGGTGTATTTAAGAATGTAAATTTAACTTAAAAGTTGCATGGACCAATTTTTCAAATTTGAATAACGAGAAATGGGAAGTGTTAAGTTGTACTGTGTAAATATTCATGTTAAACAGAATTTGTGGTGAAAGAGCAAGTTTGTGTATGAAAAAGCTAATTCTTCAAATTTCTAACGGAACAGCATGAAATATAGCACCTTCAGGGAGCCTTTAATTTACATAACGACAGAGACGTACAAGACACTAATTCAGTATGACGCAATGACAAGTCAGATTCTTTTATTTGTTTAATATGAGTTATAATAGGTCTATTGCAGTGCTTTTAGCGCTTTGATCTATATTGCAATGTATATCTTGCAATTTTGGGATTTCATTCTCGGTTTCAAGAACAATCTACAAAAAGATTATCACACCGTCTGATATACATAAAGTTCCGGGTACGCTCTACCAAATTTCCAGGATATCTTAAAGTAACAGCAAAGTTATCTATAAAAAAAATTCTGAAATCGAAGCGATATATATAGTCACGTGGGTTGGCTACCATACGAAAAGGTGTTAAAATATAATTGAAATACCTGCCCATAGTAAGCTATTGATGTAATAATGTTTATAGGACTTTCAAACAGCGGGCGCTATGGTGCAGTGCTTAGTGGTTACACTGTCTTCCTAACAATCAACGAAATACTGTAACGAAATAGACAGAAATAGATCTAACGGTAATACAAAGAGATATATACGTTAAGAGTATCCAAAAGTCAATACAACAAGTACAATGGGACAGACAAATAGATACTTCAAAAAGAAAAGAGAAAACACATAACACAAAAAATAGTACAGAAGAACTTACGCAACAACGGACTAACAACAACCGAAAAGAGAACAAGTTCTTAACAGGAAAAACAGTAATGAACAGAACATAAATACAGAGACAAAAATGTCAAAAACATACATATACAGACTAATCGGACCTGAATACAATAAAAAATGTAACGGAAAAGAACCCAAAGAGACAAAACCATCAAAAGGGTCCCAGGCCTGGGTCATTCTACAAGACACTGAATGAAATAGACGACAAAACAACAAATAAAGACAGATCAGTACATACAACAACAACCTACGTAGGAAAACACCCAACGGAACATACAGCAACGTACATTGCAGGACAGAAAACAACGTTAAAGACAGCAAAGAACTAACAAAGGAAAAGGTTTAACGAAACATACAACAACAGATCTAACGAACACTGAACACTGACCTAGCTTAGACGGCAAAACATGGAACTTAAAACACAAAGCAAGACAAACAACAAACTAGACAGGAAAAAAGGCAATGAAAATGACAATATCAAGAAGTATCAGACATACATCAGAAAGCGGGACGCGAAACAGACAGCAAACATAAAATGGAAGAGGAAACGAGGATCGTTAATAGAAGAACTAACGGATTTCAGGACTGACAAAACAACAAACAAGGACTAAACGGAACAACAAATAAACAGACCGGCAAAACAGAACAGATACATCTTCATAGTAAACATTAAACGAACTAAAGACAAAAACAAAAACTATAATGGAACAGCAAACAATTGCCGCTAAATTTGAATACGCCAGCACTGTCAAAATACAAAATGGATGAGAGAAGTGATATATTGGACCTTAATGCGCCATATTTGATTCACATCTTGAAAGAAAAAGTAACAATTAAGTGTGCGCCCGTTGATTCGCATATTCGCAAACTTCTGACCAGAAAAAAAGGGAACGGGTTGAAGACCCTAGACGTCTGAGAGAAATTGTCACGCAGAGATGAAACGTGGATTATGTGAGTAGGTGACAACAGCCCAGTTGTTGTTCCATATTTAACAATGTTGGAATAGTGGCCGTGTCGCTGTATCCGAGTGGGTAATGTCACTGGAACATTTTGTTGTGACCATTATAAAA